TAGTATAAACCTGATTTGAAACAGATATTTAGCAGAAATAGAAGACCTTTAGAACACAAATCAGATTTATACAAGCATCAATACATATCAGAGTACCAATACCTCAATTAGTAAATCAATAAAGCTTATCTTATAGTTTTATCAAATTATCTATAGAACTATCGGCATTCCAATATACATTGAACACCTATATGAATCTGATTTGTATCCTAAAGATCTTTTATTTCCTCAAATATCTGTTTTAAATCAGGTTTATATTGGGATTATGTAATGCTAGTTGGTGCCCAATTTGCTTTCATTCGTTCACAAAATCATAAATATAACATAAATACTTATTAACGTTTTTTGTATTACCTGTTTTATTTAGCTTAAGAATTTAAAAAATAGTTATTAATTATTGGAGTTAATGATATAAATACTTATTTCCAGTACATACTCCTTATATCTCTTTGTTTACATCAGAGCACAAAATCTACTGTAAAATACCAGAGGTTCTGGTAAATTAAAAAAAATTCCGGCATAATTTTTTGACAGTCTGAAACTTTCTGTTGTTCAAGAATTTTGATATTTTTACATCATAACTGATTACTACTATCATTACTACCTCTAGTTATAGATTTTAAATTTGTAAAATCGCTGAAAAAATATCAGGATATGTTATACTACAATTTTGTGTTTTGGTTTACATCAACTATTTCAATAGGTTCATAAATCTACAGAGCAGTTTACACAAATCGAAAAAAGTAAATTAGAAAATTATCAAGAAAATATCAGGCTCCTACTTTTTGTTGATTTTTGGCACTTATTGTAACAAACAGAGACATATCAGATGCTGATAGAGCTATCAGAATTAATATGTGTCTGATAGCTTTTTGATAGCTCTATTAGCACCTGATATGTCTCTGTTGTTATTATAATAGGCACTGTAAATCAACAAAAAGTCAGAACCTGATATTTCTTTGATATTTTTTTCAACCTATGTTATTTGTATTCAACTTGCAATTCTAAAAATAAAATTTTTAATAATTGGAGTTAACTCACAAACTGTAAATATAAATATTTATTTCACTTTACTTATCAGTCAGAGTAATATAAAACATATAATCAAATTGGTCTTGCCTAATTAACAAATACTTATTTAAGCTTTTATACCCATTGAATATTATTGGAGGGCAGTAAAAAGATATGCAAGAAGCCACTGTAATTATACTTTTTGAGGATTAGGAAAAACTGTACTAGAGGCTCTTGATTCTGTTGATATTATAATAATTAGAAAGTTTGCAAGAAAAGCGTGGAGGTATATAGATGCATATAGGAAAGGTTTAACACCTTCTGCTACTGAATTTGCAGTAAAAAAATATAAATTGCATTGAAGATTTCCTGAGAATATTGAATTGTAATACCAAATAACAATAATAAATAAACTGTAAATATAATGCATATTCTAAAATCTTGTGTTTAATTATTTATTTTAATTATTTAATTATTAATTAGTTTAAAATTTAAAATTTAATATGTGAACTATTAAATGTTTAATGCATACATATTTATTAATTAAACAATAGCAAGCTTAAGATATATGAAATAATCCAAAACACAGAAACAAATATTTCATTGACAATTATTTCACAGATACCAGCAACTATTTATTAACATGTTTATTTTATTTATAGTTTATCACTAGCAAGTTTTTTTTTATAACTAACTCTAATTTTAATTTAATCTTAATAATATTGACTAGAATAAATATAATTGCTAGTAAATAATTGTCAGTGAAATGTGGTATCTATGAAGTGATTGTCGGTAAGTTAATCAAATTCTGATATTTTTAATATTATGTTTATTCTCAAAGTATTGATATAGTAAAAGTCTGTATAAATATATCTTTAAATATAAATCCCATAAAGTATCTATAAGCTGTTTTAAGAATTTAGTCCAATCAATAAGGTCTTGAAATTTTTTTTTAAAACTTACATTATCGCATATTAAGCCACTATAAGATTCGATTAACTCACTAACAATTACTTTGTAGACACCACATTTCATTGCCAATTATTTATTAGCAAGTTTATTTCTCCAACAGTTTATTTCACTGAAGCTTATTTTAAAGACAAAGTAATTTTAGTCAATATCATTAGGGTTAGGTTAGAATTAAAGTTAAAGTTATAAAAAAAAAACTTGTTAGTAAAATAAATTTGATAAATAAACTGTAAATAAAATGAGCTTGTCAATAAATAATTGTCGGTGAAGTGTGGTATTTATGAAGTGATTGTCAGTAAAAAAAATACTAAACTGAAAAGGTTAATTAAAAGACCTTCTGATGGATATGAGGTCATACTGTTATATAAAATCAAAGAAAATTAGCGGGTTTTTAATTCACTAAAAATTTAAAGATTTCAATCAATTTAAATAGCACTAATTGAAAATTATAATTTATGATAATTTAGAATCTCATTTTTATCACACCTTCTGCAACTGCCATAAAGGCATTTAGACAGCAATCAATAGGAATCAGCAGATAATCTGCCTAATTCCTATTGACATTAGTTCGTTTATTTAAAATATGCTATATTTAAATTATAAATTTCACTTAATCGAAATTGATTATTTTTTAACTTATATGAATTTTATCTGAGTAATCTGATATTTTTTTATATAGATTTAATTGCTACATATAAACAAGCAATTGTCAAAAAAAGAATAATTATATATATATGCATATGTATCATATATACGTATATATGCAAATATAATAATTATAAGATAACTAAATATCTAAATTGCATTCCTATTTTCTGTGCCAGGTTATATCGATCAATATGTTGTATAACGATTCAAGTACCGAAATGTAAATACATATGCATGTAAAATAGATAATAAATAAACTTCGAAATTCTTATTAATATTAAATAGCAACTTATAATATATATACTGTTTGACTACACTTATAACATCCTTACAAATAATATCACTATAATTATAACCTGGATGCAAACCACAAAAGCTCTATTAATTAAATGCAACTTTTTCAAAAATTTAGATTGCTTTTTATAAATGCAAGTGTGTATATACTTAAAAATTTTTATCTCACAATATATATAACTCCCTGCAGTATAATATATTAGCACTATATCGAGTATATACTAAAAATGAAATTTTTGAATAAGATCCCAGGTACATTGTGCAAGGGATAATTGATTCAAGTTGCAATCTCAATATACTTAATTAAGAGATAATGATTCAAGTCGCAATCTCAATATACTTAAGGGATAATGATTCAAGTTGCAATCTCAATATACTTAAAGGATAATTGATTCAAGTCGCAATCTCAATATACTTAAGGGATAATTGATTCAAGTCGCAATCTCAATATACTTTAACGTTAATATGTAATGTTTCAAATTGTAATCATAACAGATAGCCTAATCGACAGATTAGTGATGTAATCATATATATATACTAACAATAATGCAACAATAATAATTTAAAAATCAAACATAATAAATCCTTCAAATTTCAGCATTATTCGATTTAAATATCGTTTGTTACATTAAATACCCAATAACTACTAATTATCAAAGTCATCTATCACGGTAATGCTGTTAAAACTTCATACTATTTATTACTCGATATTGAACCTAAGATCATTTGCGAAGAGAAGTATATTAGTAAAGATTAACGATAAAAAAAAAATAAAATAAAAGTCATTTTAAAAGTAAAAATAGTAAAAATATAGAAAAGAATAAAAATATTATCTAACCTATTGTTTATAAGCTGCAAATGCAAACACCTTGACAAAACTATGTATTAAAAAAAAAAAAAAAACAGTTAAATCGCATAGTTTAAATAAATTACAACTAAATACTGAAATAGAAATTTTAGAATACTCAAAAGTAGCTTTTATCTAACTTCCAAATTACCTCGCCGATTACCAAATTACTTTAACGTCTTATAGAGAAGAAGGTATAATTTCTGAATTTTTACGTACTCGTGGCTGCGAATTCATTCTTGTAATTATCGTAATAGAAAATCGTTACTTTAATAAGGCTTCAATATAACAAGATGATCTACACTAATTAATTTAAATTTTTGAATAAGATCCCAGATGCTAGGGTTCCTCAAAGTCAAATCGAATCGAATATTTTGTCAATTTGAATTTGATTTGATTTGAAATTTCTGTATTTGAATTTGATTTGAGATCAAATATTTGATCAAATCAAATCAAATCAAATCGAATTTTGAAACCCTACCGGATGCTATAAGCAGAGCTAAACGGTAATTTTATACTTTTCATAAAAATGTGAATTTTCATTTACCCGATTCAAAGCCTTAGGTTCGAATTCTAATCTTATTACTAAAATTCTTGCCCGGTTAATACAATGTATATAAAAGGAGCTTTAGTTTTCAAGAACTTGTGATTTTAATGATTTATGAGTTTTATTATCTGCATTAATCAATATATATGGTAATTTTATCAGTTTATAATCGCTATCTATAAAATTATATAAGATACTTGTTCAATAAAACAAATCGTGGTATGAATTTTTATATATAATACTGCTGGATTGCTGAAAATACATGACTAAATCCTCTTTAACCTTTTCTTAATTTCTCAAAAGAATTCATTTAATTGTAAATTTATAATACTTAAGTTGAAATTCTTTTATGATATTATCAATCACTTTATTTGTGCTTATTCATCAGAGTTATTAATTCAAGTTATCATTTGATACATTTTCACTCAAACTATGCTTAGATTTACTTATTTTTTGCACTTTACGCTTAGGAATTTCTTGAGAATTATTTACTTTATTTGTATTAATTCTTCAATTGATATTTGCTTTTCTTCGTTTTACAGACTCAGGTTAAACTCAAATTGTAGCCCTATTTTTGATACATGCTGAGGAATCCAGATTATGATTATAAAGAAGGTTTGTTACTTGTCTAATTGATTGTGATTTTGCAGTCTTGTATCGTTCAGCAAACTTATCAAATGCCATTCATAGTTGTGAGCCACAACCTTTATAATCATTCTCAATTTCTTTTAAAAAGTCATTAAAATAAGAACTATTACAATCTACTTCTTGATCTTCCAATTCGCTAATACAGTTGATAATAATATTGTAAAGTTAATTTAAATTTTGCATAAATTTTATTTTTACGTATCAGCAATATAGTAAATATACCTAAAAATATAAACACATATATGTATATCATATTTACAACCGGATACAATAGCAGAAATTTAAATTATATACAAAAAACAAACCTGAATCCATTATTTGCACCAACATTGTTTTCTGCCATTGTTACAGCGTTTGAATAGCCATTTTTATTGTCATTAATAGTATTACATTGATCACTTAAAGCAAGTTTTATACATAATGATGCATAGAAGGAACGGTTTTTTACATTAAATCCTTAAAAAAAATTATATAGTATTACATACATATATGTACAAATATAATACTTCTTATATATATACAAATACTAACCACTTGCAATATATAAAAAGATCATTCGATCATTTGGTGCTAATGAAGGTAAAAAGTTGATCATTCGAATATGATATTTTATTGCTACAGCACCTTGGTGTTTACATTGTGCACCTGTCATCCCAATAAAACAATTGTATGTTCCAATAGCACTATTTATATTATAAACAAGCCCTGATTCTTCTTTCATGCTTAATACTAAATATTCATCCGTATTGTCTGTCTGACGAATTAAATCTCTATCAATGGTTTGCCAACCAGAACACAAGAATCTCTTTGCAATTTCCATATGACCAGGATGCCGATATGCCAGTCCATATAAACGACGTTTGTAAAAGCATTCTATATTTTTAATAACAAAGTAAAAAACTTAAACTACATTATACGCTTTGGTTTTTGCAAAAATGATATCTTTAAGCAAGCCAAAGCCACGTTCAATATAATTGTTAGTATGATTACTATATAATAATAAATTTAGCCAGAAACAATGCACCCAATATTGCTGTCGGTTTCAAAAACGTTCATAATATCTTGCAAATAATGGATACTGTTGATAAAAATTATTCTTTAATTCATAATAATGATTATTCATATCAGTTTCTGTACAAGAATATACAATTTTTTTCATTTGATTCATTATAATTATACGATGCTCTTTATTTATACCATGTTTTGAGCTGTAAATCTAGCACCAAAACGCCTGCAATATATGGAATATACATAAAAGTAGATTAGACTGAGGCCAGCAACATTTCAACGCATTCCGCTTTGCAGCTGAATTGTCAGTTAAAACATTTTGAGGTCCAATATCCTATCCACAACCAAATAAAGCATGTTCAGAGAGAATTAATTTTAAAAAATCAATTGCTTTTGCAATTGTCATTTCGTGCTTATCGGATGTAACAAATAGTCCTAACGGCAATGTACCTGCTATGCAGCTTGTATACAAAAGTGTTATTGCTGTATTTAGGGGTTCAAACAAAAAAGAGACATCCACATAACAAATCTCTCCAGCTTCACGAACTCTCTCATGTACTCTACTCATTAATCCTGTTACAATACATAGTATAAATGCTTTTCTCATTTGCGAGTCATATTCTTGAATGATTGCTTTTCCATAGCCAGACGCATTTTAATTAAAAACCTCTTCATTTAAATGCTGAAACATCATTGCGCCATTTTGTCCACCAAGTTGCGAATTGAGATAATATTCAAAAAGACGAATAACATAGGTATAATCTGGGTTAACCGCACGGTCAGCAAGAGTTTCAACTAAATTTTTATTTGATAAAGCTGAAAGATATAACTTATCTTGATGAGTATACAAAGCAAAAGCAGGCGAATAACTATTATAGAACATTTGAATAAATTTATTACGTATTTCCTCATTCACGTGTCTAAAACCAAGTGACTCAGCAGAATTTACAATATGATTATGTTTAAAGCAAATATTAACTTCCAAAAGATGGCTGGTATTCAAACGCCAACGTTCTAATCACAAATGTAAAGTTGCTTCACAATCTATATTTCTATTACACGTTGATTCTGGATATGTTCTTTTAGAATCATCTTGCTTTTTTCTAACAATTTGGCTATGAATACAATGCCTTGATTCACAAAAAATAACTCGTTTGCCTTTGACTCCATAACCCTTAGTTTGCAGCATTGTCGATTTTGAGTGTTCTTCAAAAGCAGAAAACTATAATTTTATATCCTCTATGGTTGAAACATTTACGAATGCACCAACTTCAAATTGCTATATTTCAAAACCTTCATAGGTATAATATGGTGGCAATTTGATAATATGTTGGATCATATAGCTATAATTCGAAGAGAAAATAGCCTGTAGAAAATCTGGTAATGAGTTCCAGAAAAAAATCTAAAAACATACTATTGTTATTATCTGTTATATTGTAAAAAAAATTTGTATTGTATTTTAAAATTCAATTTACCTCACAAGAATTTTCACCATTCATATAATTAACAATATTTGTAGTATCGCTAGTTGCTTCATAAGAATCAAAATTTAATTCAGTATAGTCAATCTTCTTAAAATAAAAAAATAATTATGATAAGCAAATAATAACTAGTAATAAGATATAATTTTAATATGTACAGTGCGCGACACTTAAAGACTACATTTGTCCCATTTTTAAAATTTAAAATTTAAAACTTTAATTTGTTTTAAAACGTTGATTTTTGATGTTTTTATAGTTGCTTAATTTTGATTGGTCAAATTTCTTGAATTTTGATTGGTTAAAATGGTTTTAAAATTTTATTATATAAATTTAAACCAATTTGATTGTCTATTTTTTTTAATGTGTCCTATTTTTAACTTTTTTTATATATGATTATATAAAAATATTATATTTTTAAAGCTATATACTTTAAAAAGTTATTATAATTTTTTAAAAAATAAAGCCGCTAAATTGTAGCAAATTGATTAATAGCGGCTTCCTTTTTTTAAATATCTTTTTTAGATCAAAAAATATTGGCCTTTAAACTTTGTGTAGTCTTTAAGTGTTGTGCACTGTACAATTTTAACTCACTTCGATGCCATTATTCACTTCTGTATCTTCGTCTACTTCTGTACTTTTATCTACTCTCATATCTTCACCCACTTCCATACTTTTATCCATTTCAGTGCCTATATCCACTTCAATGTCTTTATCAATAACTAGAGTTTTAGTAGCATTTATAAATGTATCGTCTATATAATATGAGAACATATTCCCCATATGATTTGTAAATAAATTCTCCATGTGATTTGTAAATGAGTTTTTCATAGAATATGTAAGTATATTTTCTATAGGATATGTGAATGTATTTTCCATAGGATATGCAAATGTATTTTCCTTACAGTTCATGAACGTATTTTCCTTACATAATTTGTTGACACATCCTTATCCTCATCTATATAGCCAGTGAATGTAAAGGTTATAATTTCATAAATGCAAATATTAATTCTACTATCTTAAAATAATTAAATTGTGAATAAGTTAATGTATTAATTTTCCTGGTGTGATTCATTAATTGTATTATTACTTACGTACAATTAAAATCTAACTAGATCCTATTTTATTTCTTGATCGCCCAACCTGCCTAACGTTCCCAACTAGTTGTACTAATCACCATTTCCGTTATACAAATTATATTTCAAGTTATAATGGCACAATGTTTATGCTTTAAATGTCTAGTTTATTTTATACACCTCTTTCACTATGCTTTATCACCTTTCTAACGCCAAACTTCTTCTTTGCTACTAAACTTCCTGCTACACACGCAACGATATTTGTTTTATTTAAGGTATTTAAGATAACGAAGTAAAGGTTTAAGTTTTAGGATCTAATTTTATATTTCAGTCTGGGAATATACCATAAATGGATAGCGATGATTACACCTTTTATAGAAATAGATCATCGCTCAATTGATTCTGGAAATTTCTAAAGAATGATCGCTGGCCAATTAAATTTATCAAGCAATTTACTTCATTTTTAAACTTAATTTTAGTTTTTATTTAAAATATATACTATATTATTAAGAATATAACTACAGTGTATACAATTTATATATTTAATTCGTTTTTTTAAAATTAATTTTATTTTTTATTTATGTCATTATTAATTTTAAAATTACAATCTTAAAAATTAAATACTAAACTATGTAGTTTTCGTGCTATGTTCCAAATTTCCGTGCTATATAGAATGTACCAAACTCTTATACTACATCCCGAATCTACCTAACCCCTGTTCCAAACCCATCAACTCTTATGCTATTTTTACCCTAAATTATTTATTATTATTATATTTATTTCGAATTTATCTAACTATCGTCTCAATCATCATGCTACACGTATGTTCATTTTAACTATCATGCTTTTCGTGCTATGCTTACCCTAAATTATCTATTATTCTTATATTCATTTCGAATCTACCTAACTATCATTCTAATTCTCGTGCTACACGCATGTTCACTATGTCTATTTGTTCTTACTATCATGCTATGTTTATCTTAACTACTAAACTATTAATTGTTGCTATGTTCAAATTATTGTGCTATATTCATTACATCTATCATACTATATTCATCTAACTATTACACTTGTCTCAACATTATACTAACGTTCGTTCTAACTATACTACATTCATTCCAACTACACTATGTTTGTTCCAACTACACTACATTCATTCCAACTACACTACGTTCGTTCCAACTACACTACATTCGTTCCAACTACACTATGTTCATTCCTACTTCATTCGTTCCAACTACACTATATTCGTTTCAACTACACTATATTCATTCCAACTATACTAATTTGTTCTAACTACACTGTTCATTCTAACTACCTATGTTCATTCTAACTACACTATATTTGTTCCATGTTCTTTCTTACCATGTGCAACTATCATACTATATTCTTACTATGATACAATACTATTTCGTTCTATTATGCTATGTTCGTTCTTGCTATGGTGCTATGTTCAATCTATTCGGATTAGTATGCTAGCAAAGATACAGTTTTTCATTTTTTTCACTTGACAATATATAGAAATAAACATAATTTTACGTTCTCATTTACCTTTTCATAGACACTTTACTTCGCGGGATTATTTGGGATTATTGAAGTTTGTCGCTTTTATTATTTATTCTTATATCATTTAGTAATAAATGAATATGTGAAATTTAATAAAACCCCAGCTCGAATACGTGCATAAAAAAAAAGTGTGACAACCAATCAAATGCACAAACCTGTTTGTAGATCCTTCTAGAACCTGATTTCTAAATCTGGTATATTTTCGAACTGTATTTATAGTATATACGTACTGTACAATTATATCAATTACATCATTGATCTGCCAATTAGACTCTAAATTACTTACAATAGTCTGTCATTATTGCATTATTATTACAATTTGAAACTTTATGTATATCGCTTATTATTATTGTTGCATTATTGTTAGTATATATGTATGATTACATCACTAATCTGTCAATTAGGCTATCTGTCATAATTACGATTTGAAACATTACGTATTAATGTTAAAGTATATTGAGATTGCGACTTGAATCAATTATCCCTTAAGTATATTGAGATTGCGACTTGAATCAATTATCCTTTAAGTATATTGAGATTGCAACTTGAATCATTATCCCTTAAGTATATTGAGATTGCGACTTGAATCATTATCTCTTAATTAAGTATATTGAGATTGCGACTTGAATCAATTATCTCTTGCACAATGTACCCGGAATCTTATTCGAAAATTTCATTTTTAGTATATACTCGATATAGTGCCGATATATTATATTGCAGGGAGTTATATATATTGTAAGATAAAAATTTTTAAGTGTATACACACTTGCATTTATAAAAAGCAATCTAAATTTTTGAAAAAGTTGCATTTGATTAATAGAGCTCTTGTGGTTTGCATCCGGGTTATAATTATAGCAGTATTATTTGTAAGGATGTTATAAGTGTAGTCAAACAGTATATGTATTATAAGTTGCTATTTAATATTAATAAGAATTTCGAAGTTTATTTATTATCTATTTTACATGCATATGTATTTACATTTCGGTACTTGGATCATTACACAACATATTGATCGACATAATCTGGCACAGAAAATAGGAGTGCATCTAAATTGTTATTATGTTTGATAAATTATTATATTAAATATAGTGGCCAAATTCTGGTATTAATATTAAAATATAACAACTTTAGTAGTAAATAAATTCGGATCTGGTATGTTTAAATAAAAAATCTTTTTGTAATATTGTAGTACTGGTTCTATAATATCATTTTACAAGAAAATTTTTTTAAATTTATTTATTTTTTTGTTAACTAGTAACAAATTTAAAAGATATATATAAAGTCACGTAATACTAATTCTAGATTATACAAGTGATTACTCAAGGAATACCAAACAAAATCAGCTGAAATTTTTATATATAATAGAAGAATAACAATTTTATTTATAGTAAAAATTTGAACTAATTTCAATCAATAGTCATCGAGATTTTTTTTTTTTTTTTCAAGTGGTCATATCACAACTTTATTATTTAACATAGATAGAACAAATTTTTATATTTGAATATCTAATTACAGCCAAGCTGTTTTATACTAAAGTATGATTTATCTGATTTCCAATTGGACCTATATGTAACCTGCCAGAGCAGAAGCAGTCTTCTTGCTTCTTCTAGATCTATCTCAGATTTCAGATCTACATATCACTAACTAGGATCTACTAGCCTGTCATGACCATCTATCCCTTTTTATAAATTTTTTTACCTAGATCCAAGCAGAATAGTTTATCTCTTACTTTTTTATAAGGGAAAAATATTTGCTAAATTTACCAAAGAAAACCAAAATTTAGAAAAAAAAGAGACAAAAACAAAAAAAAAGAAACATATATGAAAAAGTATATTCTAAATAAGATTACATTGTAAAGGGAAAAAAATAGAAGAAGCACAAAAAAGAACAAGGTAGCATAACATATATAAAAAAAATACAAATACACTATTATAACCCATGCCAGGCTAATAAAAATTGTATAACAACTGCAATTATTGTATATCTCTAATATAATCTTTCTTTTCCAACTTAATATACTTTATCAGATATCTCTTTAACCTAAGACCCGATCTTGTCACATGGAGTAGCTCCATATTTTCAAATAAACAAACACGTGGTTGCAATTTACCAAGTTTATCCAAAAATAAAAAATAAACAATGCTGATCTTTTGGAAGGGGTAAGCCAAATTCTCACTTTTTTGAAAAAATTTTTGGAAGACCAGCAGAAAAGTAAAAGTAAGTAAGAGAGGAGTCACTTGGCCAAATAAAAGAATATGGCTTGAGAAGAGCAAGTTTTTCACTATTCTCCAGTTATTTCGCAACAAGTTGCTTTGTTAACAGAAAATTTTCACCAAAATTTTATATACAAGAGCACACTTCCCCAGCCAGTTATCTTATATAAAGACACTTTCAACTTGCATGTCGAATATATAAAGGAGTCCTCTTAAAAGCACAAAAGGTTGACTTTTATAAAAACTACACTGTTGTCCACCTACTACAGATCTTTTCTACTTCTTTAGTATCCAAACTTGACTTTTCTTTCATAGAAAATTTTGATCTAAATGATTGTCGGAAAGAGTATCTTAAATAGTCATCAAGATATTAATTATCAAAAGTTGAGTAAAAATAGCAAATTTATTCCACTTAATAGACATTTTATTTTTTTAAAATTTTAATTAAAGATATTTTTACAAATCTATAGAATTTAAATAGAAAATTTTTATTAAGTTGTGATTTTAAAAAGATATTTTTATTAATAAATTAGCAAAAAAACTTTTTAAAAAAAGGTAATAGTATTATAATTGTGATTATATAAAGATATTTTTAATATTAAAAAAAACAACTGTACAAAATCGTGTGATTATATAGAGTTTGTGATTATATAGGAGGTGATTGTATGGGAGGATGACTGTACTAATTAGCTACTTATTTTTTATTTTAGTTTACTAAACCTATTGTTTTACACATATATATATGTTTTTTTAAAAAATAACTAATTAATTAGCATGAAGTATTTTAAATAAAAATATTTTATGCTCTAAAAAACTCTTCCCAAACTTTAACCCTAATAAAAAAAAGTTGTATTAAAAATTTTATATACAAAACCTATAAAAACTTAGAAAAATATAAGAAAAATATATAATAGAACATTATTGGTGTGTTTTATAATAATTGTTACTTTATTAAAATCTAATTACAAAATCTTGATGTACATCATATAACGCTATGCATCTCATATGATGATCTTTATCTGGGATGCATCAGCTGCAAGCCGGTGTTTTAAATCAGGCAAATACAGTATATCGATATGTAAAATTAAATCAGATACGTACAACAGATACAAATATATATATGTACGTAAAATTAAATCGGACCGTTCCGAAATTAAGTATCCTCCGAAAATAAGCACCTAGGGATTGCACTATGCCAATTTTGGCCTGCATTATAATGATCTTGGTATGTAAAAAAAGGGCGCTTAATTTCGGAACGGTATGGTATATGTATTATTAAGCCAGACGAGTAGGTAGGAATAATACCTGGGTCTTAATCAAGAGGGGACATGTGTTGCACATAGTGATATACATTAGTTTGACAACTGATTTAATAATAATTATGTTCTAGAGCCCTTAGATTAGTTCACATTTAGAGTGTTCATTTATAGATAGGTTTTCAGTAAAAACTCGAGTGCGTGCATTGGAAAGGATATTGCATTTAAGGAGGGTGCGTATTGTATGCCTGTAGGATCAATTATTGAGCAGTATTGCAAATCATCTTACTCAATTCTGATTAGTTTATCAGAAAATATTTTCCTAGTATTGTTAATGTATAGTTACGAACTGTGCCTAATTACATTCGATTCAAGGAATTTATGTAAAATTGTAGCAATGTGATCTTGAATCAATTATTTTGAATTTAGTCACTATTATGAATTTAGCCAAAATTGAATTTTTCCGTACAATTTATTATTAAGTAGAATATATAGATTATTAATAATAACTAATTTTTTTAAGGCACTCGTAGTAACCTATAAATGACTTTACAATGTTTACAAAAACAACGGTAATTATTTTTAGCCTTCAAACATTAGATCTTAATTACTCACTAGCATTGGCGTGTACCCCAGCCTTCTCATAAGCAACCACTCCAAAAACAATCCAGCATATAGCAAGCATCAAGCCCATTATCCACATATATATTATACTTCTTTTCTTCTTATTTGATATTGCTGTTTTTGAAAGAGCTGTTTCATCAACCATGCTCATTGAGAGTATTCGTCCTTCACTGTTTATCTCTTCAGTTTCGCGTAATTGTCCGTAATTTTCGTGGAGATCGTGAGTAGTACCACTATTTATTGAATCGAGACTCCCTCCTCTATACTTTTTGTCCGCCCACCAAAATATACAACAGCTCACAACAGATAATAAACTTAAAACTGCAAACATCTTTAACGCAACCAAATCGTCATCTTCATGACCCAATTCAACACCATTTCCATCTATTATATACTGTTTTTTCTTTACGTGAGCATCAAGCAACAAGCCGGCTATTGTTTGGCATAATGTAGCACCAATATTGTCTACGCTTTTAAAGAGCCCAAGACCAGTGGACACATGTTTTGTAAGTAGCGGAATAAGTGTAATAGTAGTAAGTGGGACTACAGAGTAGGCAATCGCAAAGAGGAAAATCGGTGATAGCGGATGAACAATACTTGGAGGTGCCAACAATAGTAAATAAGTAAACAAGAACGCCAACGAGCCAAAAATTACTGAACATTGATGTAAATTTATATTAAAAATCACAGTTAAATATTAAAATTGTATAAAAGCTAAGTAGATTTTACTCACAAATCATCAGGCGGTGTCCATATTTATCTAAAAATAATCCCAAGAATGGATAAACTATCACTGGCATTAACATGATTATCGACGCATCCCATGAAGCCAATAAGTCCGTTGTATCATATCGATGTTTTATTATATTACTATATTAAATAAAGAATAAACCGTTAAAAATGGTAAAATATATTGGAATATGGAATAATCATATGATTTACCTGGATAAATGGAGAAATGGTGTCATGCAAGATCCGAATAATAAACCTACAACTAACAACCACCAAAAGATATCGGAAAGCGTAAATATAGCATTCCAATGGACCGTTTTATTTTCAACTACTTGATATAATGCGGCCCCTTCTTTTGTGCGGCTATTTCTATTCTTAGCGTGCCTTAGAAGACATATATATACAATGTTCATTACCCAAGATAAAAAACATGTAAATGTAGCTACAAGGAAAGGCATACGATATTCAAAAGATGGCACCATAGACAATGGCACAGCTAATATTGTTGCGAGAAAGGATGCCTAAATTTTATAGGAATATTTATGATTAAAAGTTATATAAATATTTAAATAGTATGCTTTATAAAAGTTTATTGTCTGAAAGAATTATTCATAGATGGATTAACTACTATACAAAACTTACTAATCTTCCCAAAGTCATACCAGCAGCTAAAGCAAATCCCAAGCCGCTCCCATGAAAAAACTGAACGATTATCGTTTCTTGGACGATGGTCAAAGGCGCCAATCCCATGCTATACATTTATAAAAATTTGGATGGCACCTGTTTAGCTTATTATTTCCAGATATGGAAGAGAAAATATAAAATATAATAAGCAATTGCTCACCCAAATATTGTAAACCCAAAAATCATTAATCCAACTTTACCAGTCCAACACGCGGCTGTTACAATAATCGTCCCAATCAAAATTATGGATGTTACAACAAGAGAACTTCGAGTTGTGCCAAATTTAGCTACAAGAAATCCCGAAACTATTGGAATCACACTATTACATAAAGTAAATGATGCAACTAATAGTGAAAATTGAGTGTTTGTAAGATTAAGTTTCTATTTTTAATCGAGAGAAATCAATAAGCTCATATTATAAATATAATATCAAAACGTAATAGGCTTACGAATATAACCTACCTCCATTAATATTCCTTTCATAGGACCGATAATATGAGCGAAAAAATGGCTCCCTATGCCAAAGGTACATGCACAAGCCATAGCGCACATTTTGATAATCCTATCATCATTATTTAGTTTGAAGCTCCCCCTTCTGCTTCCTAGAGTTTGATCATTAAAACGTTCTGATTGATCTCGAAGTGAAGAAACGGTCGATGATCTACGCTTATTTCGAATTAACCACTCCTTATCCTCCAATAGATCAGCTGATTCATTCATTACGTCCAGCGTCGATATTGAAGGAAGTGTGGGTTTTGTAAAAGACGGAAGGAAATCAGATTCTTCATCTGATTCATCACCTCCTAACGTTTTCAACTTAGAAACTGTTGAAACGTCCAACTCCTCCATTTCTACTACTGAGGTGATTTTTTAACGAAGGTCTGTCTTTGTGGTTCGCCACACGCCAAATCCAAACAACGGGTTAGGTTTTCAGAAGTAATGGAATTTTTTCGGTAAATCGACGGGGGGTTTAATACTAACGAGGGATCTTAGGATTTACCTACTTGACAGTTTTTTTGAAAACCTAAATTTACATACGCATTAATTGGAGAGAAATGGGATTTGATATATTTTATTGAATGTGCAGCTTATATTTTGACATGGTCACACAATTCGTTTTGTATGGTTTTGTTGTGAGAACACTTATATGCTGATCAAACTGTTGTTCGTAAATACTAATGCTAACAGTCGATCGATTGATTTACATCAACAAAGACATCAAAGATTTGAATAAGTTATTTGATATTACATTACCTAAAATCGAAATTATGTACAGCCATGTTCAAGAAAAAGTAAACATACATCACTATCACATACTACACTATAGACCATTCACTCCGAGCCTATCTAATGAATGATTCAATGATTATCTACTTTAAACTTATATTAATTAATTGCTTTACAAAAACGTGGGATATTCAGATATTCAGATTTTCGGTGTTAAAAATTCAAGCTAGCTAAAAATAAAAGTTAAATACATATATAGACTTGTCATAGGTTCTAAAAAGTCCGGTTCTGAGCTAGTTAGAAAGCGGCTTATAGTTCCAGTTCGAAACCGGCCTAACCCTATTTTGTATAAACTATACACGTGCCAATAAAATTATACCGATAACACTAATTTTAGGGACGGTCTACCGACACAGCAATTCACATGACTTATCTTCTTATCAGCACAGCAATTAGTAGGGACTTGCTGTGTCGATAAGAAGATAAGTCATGTGAATTGCTGTGTCGGTAGACCGTCCCCTAATTTTATTTTGCAAATATAAGGTAAATGAGCAATTTGGCGAAGTTAGTAAAAATCTCACATATCTCGTTATTTATTGGTCCAGATTTAGTACCATTCGATCCGTCTCGATGAGACGAATAGAATGGCACTAAAATTATTCAATTTGCGTCACAGGGTCACGAGTTATTAACAATTGTATGTACGTACGTACGTACGTTAGGGTGTCCAGGATTATGCGATAAATTATGCGATCGAGGTCAATTTTGAGTTCATTGATTTTCTACGTCGTTAGCCGGGCGACTTTCGACACACTTATCTGCCAATCAGTGTGTGAAATTCAATTATGATTTTATGATCTAACTGGGAACATTTTTCAAGTCTTTAATGTTTTCAAAAATTTTTTAATGTTTTCAATACAGAAAAAAAATTTTTTTTTTTTTGGCAATCATGTCACAACTTTATTTTTTAGCACCTGGAAATGTGTATCGGGTTGGGTTCGGATGATGGTCCGGATGATGGTCCGGCGAATTTTTACTTTTGTTTTTTTTACTAAGACTTTATTTTTCAATTATAGCGATGATATAAAGTAATATTTAATGTAATTAACAACACATCTAATGCATAGAATAATACAAATAAACTTAAATTTCAACATTATAATAGCTATTATTTTTTTAACCATTTGGTTGTTTTCTGTGATAAATTATGTACTCTTTGCAATTAATCATTCTTTATGCCCTTCATTTCAAACTGATCGATATTTTCTTTCCGAATATTTGTTGATTATATGAAATTTGGCAAAATAGATAGGACGCTAACTTGTCTATCAATAGAGATTCGGATTTTCGCATCATTCTTGAAGTTGGCTATCATTGTTAACGTTACTAATGATAAGTTGAAAACTTTTCAATAGATATAATATGCATATTAGATCT